GTGGGGTACGGTATCACAAACTCGCCGAGAAGAACAACACGGGCGGAAACTCCTGAGGGGCTCGAGCCAAGGGGTCTGAAATGCGTTGTGGAAAAAGCAACATGGGGTTCATCTTGTGCCCCCCTTCCCTCGCCCCCTCAAGATGAAATAAGCATGCGGTGAAATTCCTCTCTCTCCCCCGTCCTCCGCCAGCCCTCGCAGCTACACTCAGGGACAGCCTGCTTTAATTCTTCCTCTTTGCGATACTGTTTATGTTACACACATTGAAGTTAGGACATGTCTTTAATAAGATGGAAATTGGAAGCGAGACGTGAAAAAGTGGGGGGGGGCTGTGCTGGCCGGTCGCCAAGGTTCAAGAGCGCAGTTGGGGGGCCGCTGAACGTGCGCTCACACACAAAGAGAGAGAAAGCAGATGGAGAGACGCAAATAAGACGCAGAGGCTGCATCTTCAGGGTAGGCCAGGAGGGGGTGTGGAATTAATGGGATGACTCCTGTGAGCTTTTCTGACAGGGCCTAAAAACACCTTGCTCTTCCAGGAGGCAGTGCATAGCCGTCAAGTGTCCCTGTTTTCCCGGGACATTCGTGGAATTACAGAAGCTTTCCCTGGCTTCTTCTTTTTTTTTTTTTTTAAAAAAAATAGTTTTTATTAAGAATTATTTTATTAAGAATGAGAGTCCCATGGACAGCAAAAAGATCCAACTTCTCCATTCTGAAGGAAATCAGCCCTGAGTGCTCCCTGGAAGGACAGATCCTGAAGCTGAGGCTCCAAGACTTTGGCCACCTCAGGAGAAGAGAAGACTCCCTGGAAAAGACCCTGATGTTGGGAAAGATGGAGGGCACAAGGAGAAGGGGACAACAGAGGATGAGATGGTTGGACAGTGTTCTCCAAGCTACCAGCATGAGTTTGACCAAACTGGGGGAGGCAGTGGAAGACAGGAGTGTCTGGCCTGCTCTGGTCCATGGGGTCACGAAGAGTCGGACACGACTAAACGACTGAACAACAACAACAACAACATTAAGAATTTCAACATAACAAATTATCAAAAACTATCGTCTTCATCCCCCCCATTTTCCCCTCCCCCCTCCCCAAGAAGAACCATCCCTCCCACATGTTATTCTCTGCATATTGTAAAATTGTAAAGATCCTTAAATTATCTGCCTATTATGTTAACAATCAATAAATTTGTGTATGTTTATTCAAAACCTGCCAAGGAGTCCAATTCAGGACATAATATACAATTTGAAGACTGGGGAAAATTGTGGAGAATAGATTTAAAATTTACAGACTGTTCTCTTTTGAAAGAAAATTATATGAAAATGATGTATTTGTTGTTTAGTCGTTTAGTCGTGTCCGACTCTTCGTGACCCCATGGACCCAGGCTCACGCCAGGCTCTCTGTCCACCTCCCACTAGACAGTCAGCTCATGTTGCTCAGCTGCTGTCCAGAGTGGGACATCTCCCAGCGTGGGTCTTTCCAAGTCAAATGTGTATAGATGGTATATAACACCAGTACAGATTGCAAGAATATACAAAAGTGGGTCACATGTATGCTGGAAGTGTAAAGAAAAAGAAGGGATATATATATATGGTGGGAATGTAGAGAAATAAAATTTTTTGGGAAATGATATATAATGAGTTGAAGAAAATGTTTAAATTAACATTTGTAAAAAAACCAGAAGCATTTTTGTTAGGGATCGTAGGAAAAGACCTGCCAAGGAAAATAAAGAATCTATTTATGTATGCAACAATGGCGGCAAGAGTCTTAATGGCACAAGGATGGAAGAATGAGGAAACCCCCGACAAAAGAACAGTGGCAAGAGAAATTGATGGACTCTGCAGAATTGGCGGAATTGACATACAAACTGCGAGACAAGCTTTCCCCGGCTTCTGATTTCATCTGGCAATGTCCCGTTCTCCCCCTCCAGCGCCGCTGCCGCCAGACACGGGAAGAGCATGTGCCAGCGCTTGCGCGAAGCGGAACTCTTGTGCGCAGGGAAGACATTTCCCTGCTGGAGCAGGGGCAGCGGACATGATGCCCCGGCTCTTGCACCGCCCTCTCAGCCGCCACCAGCTTTAATACAATGCTAGCCTTTTTGCGGGAAATTCCCTTATTCCTGCGCCATTTCCCGCTGCTTCCCGCTGCTATCCCGGATTGTTAGATATCCCATAGACTGTCCCCGGGACAGGTGAGGCTGCTGATCCCTTATTTTCAAATCTGAAAGTTAACAGCTATGCCACCAAAGCCGCCGCCTCTGTCATGGCGGCATGAGGTGTGTCGTAGGCTAAGTCAGGGTGCGAGGAGGGAAGAGAGCCAGGGTCAGATTTAGGTTTGATGAGGCCCTAAAGCTCCTGAAGGTCATGGGGCCCTTTATATGCCAGCTGTCAACAACAAATTGTCGCTGTTCTTTGTGTTGAATATATGCTATATGGTAATTTATGGACCTAATAGGTATCTCAAGCCATTTGCCCATGTTGCCATGCGACCAGTCCATGCAGAATGTATGCACCCTATATATAGAAAGGAGCAAACCAGTGATATTTGAGGGAGCAGGCTAGCAGGCGGGGCCCATGACTTACATCATAGCAGCCTACACAACACAAAACACTGTGGCTGTATGTAGATTTTATTTTATTGGTTTTTTATCTTATATTTTGGAAATGTACATCCAGGTTTTTTTTGCCTTTATATTTTTTTGGGGAGGGGGCAAGAGAGTGGGGCCCTAAGCTACAGATGTCAAAGAGAAAAACAACTACCAGACTTTTAGACGACATCTGAAGGCAGCCCTGTTTAGGGAAGCTTTTAATGTTTAATAGATTATTGTATTTTAGCCATTCTGTTGGGCAGCCGGTGGCTGGAAACCCAGCCAGATGGTGATATAAATAAATTATTATTATTATTATTATTATTATTATTATTATTATTATTATAGCTTGTTTAGCTTATACGTAAATCCAGCACTGGAAGAGAGTGGGCTGCTGCCAGCTAGGGGCTGCGACAGTGGAGGCTGACACACGTTCCAAATTTCTACTGAGAAATGTTGGAGGACATGACAGTGACTGTGAGAACAGCATGGTGGACTAGATGGGCCATTGGCCTGATCCAGGAAAACTCTTAGCAGGTTCCTTTTTGTGCACTCAATGAAAAAAGATTGTTATTCTTTTAACATGCCCTCGGTTGCCTTCGATGACAGCATCCTCAGTCAAGGCTGGATCTAGACACATCGAAAAAAGCGTTTCAGGAAAACGTGTTATAAACCTCAGTGGGAAATCACGTTGGCAAAAGATGGAACTCCACAGCGCCCTCTGGTGTCTCATTGTTATAACTCATATAAAACGCTTTTTCTTCACTAGTGTAGCTGTCCAGTATCTGATCACTTGTGTTGACTCGCACGCTTCTATCCTCTGACCTCCTGTGACATCAGCATGTCACATTGTGACATCATACCAGTCACCATGTGATTCCTGATTGAACAGGACCCACCTCTGTGTGCTTTTATTTTCTTTATTTAACAGATTTATAACAAACCTTTTCTTGGAGGGGGGGAGTGGAGGAATTCTACTGTCTTTTGCAAAGGCATCAGAAACAGAAGACAATTTCTTAGGGTTTATGCCAATATGTAGAATTTCAAAAAGAAGCAGGAGACTTGAACTTATTGGAAGGCACCCTTTCACATGCCAAATTCAAATGTTTATCATTGAGGAGCAACCATTTTTCTCTGTAGACACACATTTTGTCACAGTCAGTGCCCTCCACGGAAAATGCCAATGTCAATGTATATTTAGTGGGTTGTATTCAGAGTACTAAGGGACGGGGGTGGCACTGTGGGTTAAACCAAAGAGCCTAGGGCTCTGTGGTGATCAGAAGGTCGCCGGTTCAAATCCCCACGACAGGGTCAGTTCCCGTTGCTTGGTCCCTGCTCCTGCCAACCTAGCAGTTCGAAAGCACAAAATGCAAGTAGATAGTAAGTAAATATGTACCACTCCAGCGAGAAGGTAAACGGCGTTTCCGTGCGCTGCTCTGGTTCGCCAGAAGCAGCTTAGTCATGCTGGCCACATGACCCAGAAGCTGTACGCTGGCTCCCTCGGCCAATAAAGCGAGATGAGCGCCGCAACCCCAGAGTCGGTCACGACTGGACCTAATGGTCAGGGGTCCCTTTACCTTTACTTTATTCAGACTACTATGTTTGTCCTTAAGGTAGACCCACTGAAATTGTTGTTTTTTAGTCATTTAGTCGTGTCCAGCTCTTTGTGACCCCCTGGACCAGAGCATGCCAGGCACCCCTGTCTTCCACTGCCTCCTGCAGTTTGGTCAAACTCATGTTCGTAGCTTCGAGAATACTGTCGAACCATGTTGTCCTCTGTTGTCCCCTTCTCCTTGTGCCCTCCATCTTTCCCAACATCAGGGTCTTTTCTAGGGAGTCTTCTCTTCTCATGAGGTGGCCAAAGTATTGGAGCCTCAGCTTCAGGATCTGTCCTTCCAGTGAGCACTCAGGGCTGATTTCCTTCAGAATGGGTAGGTTTGATCTTCTTGCAGTCCATGGGACTCTCCAGAGTCTCCTCCAGCACCAGAATTCAAAAGCATCAACACTGAAATTAGTGGACCTAAGTTGGCCATCAATTTGAATGGGTCTGCTTTGGAGAGGAGGAAGAATGGATGCATTACATCGAAATTGCAGGGGTTTTCCCAGACTTGGGTATCCAGCTGTTTTGGGACTACAATTCCTATCATCCCTGACCGCAGGACCTGCTAGCTAGGGATGATGGGAGTTGTAGTCCCCAAAACAGCTGGAGACCCGAGTTTGAGAACACTGTGTTAAATTGTTCCCAGGATTTGATGCAGGGCCTCACTTGGATTGTAACTTCCCAAACTGATACATCAGCGGCCTCACACGCGCTGGCCGGGACAAACCCTTCACTTTGCATTTGCCTCTGTGTGTTAATTCTGCGTTAATGCTCTCCCAAGGCCTCCTTGTCAGCCCCGCAGATGGAGGGAGGCTGCGCTATCGTCTCTCTAAATCACGCGTCTCGCGGCGCAGGAGCTGGAAGGCCAGAGGGCCCTCAGGGACGCATTTGCACGTTATCCGAGGTCCTTTGATGAGATCTTCTGCAGCGGACAGCTCGCCTGCGTTCCAGATGTTAGAGTTTAACGATCCATGTTTAGACATGGGGATTTCCTCGGTCTTCGGAGATGAGCGGCCGGTCGACGGGTCTCGCATCACCCGCATCGTGCACTTTCCTCTTCCTGTAAGCTAGAGGACGAAGGATGTGAGAGGAAGCGGGTTCATCCACAAATATTGCAATTCCGTAAAGAAATGCTCTTTGCTGGGTGATCTGCTCAGTCCCTTTGCAATGCAAATGCGCTCTTAAGAAACTGGGACCATTGGTCTAAATTAGCTGGGTGAGTGCAAGGCAGACCATTAAAAATCTGTGCGGGGGAGGAATACTAAACTCTCATAGAATCATAGATTAATTGTGATTCCTCTTCATTTCATTTCACTTTTAATTTGTAGGTTGCCTTTCTATATTACCATACACAGGGTGGTTTATAAGCTGCAGAAACAATGAAGACCGTAGACCTTATAACAATCTGATCCAGTACGAACATGTCATCATAAAAACATAACTTGAAAATAGACAACTTATCACAAATAGGGGACGCGGGTGGCGCTGTGGGTTAAACCACAGAGCCTAGGACTTGCCGATCAGAAGGTCGGCGGTTCGAATCCCCGCGACGGAGTGAGCTCCCGTTGCTCGGTCCCAGCTCCTGCCAACCTAGCAGTTCAAAAGCACATCAAAGTGCAAGTAGATAAATAGGTACCGCTCCGGCGGGAAGGTAAACGGCATTTCGGTGCACTGTTCTGGTTCACCAGAAGCGGCTAAGTCATGCTGGCCACATGACCCGGAAGCTGGACGCCTGCTCCCTCGGCCAATAAAGCGAGATGAGCGCTGCAACCCCAGAGTCAGCCATGACTGGATCTAATGGTCAGGGGTCCCTTTACCTTTACCTATCACAAATAGAGTAATATTCAATAATATTGAAAATAGCCAGCAGGGGGAGCTGTTGGCTTTCAATACTCATCCCAAATTTGCTTTCCGGATGGCAGAAGAATGGCAGAATTTTGTGTCCAGGTCACAGAAAACACAGAAAACACTTACATGCATGTATGACATGTGCCAGGGCTGTGCCAGCTGTACTGTAATCTAGACTCGAAGGCTGCATCCTCTGAATGTTCATCAGGGCACCCCTGGGAGTCCAGAATTGTGTGAGCCGAAGGAGGCGATTCGCTTACCATTAGCACCAAGCCTGGCATATCCAGAGGGCTGCCCATCCCAGGGCTATAGGTTGCAGCCCCTTTGTCCATCGAGGCCTGTGCAGACAGCATTCCAAACCCTCCAATATTTCTCTGATTAAAAAGGGTCATCCCGTTCTACATCACGAAGCTTCTCCCTCGTTGGATCTCGCAGCACATCAACATTATACACACGTCGACACCTGTCACCTTGAGCCAATGGCAACCTTTCCACCAATCCTGCCTCACAGAATGGCTGTAAAGGAAAAATGTGCAAGGGAAGCGATAGTGTACAGCGCCTTCCACAGATAAACAGAATGAAATTAAAATTTGGCTGCAAGTTGACTTGAGTCCCTGTCACGTGGCTGGGATAACCCAGCCAGATGATGGGTGGGGAAGTAAGAATAATAATAATAATAATAATAAAATAATAATACCCCACCCATCTGACTGGGTTGCCTCAGCCACTCTGGTCAAATAGATAGATAGATAGATAGATAGATAGATAGATAGACAGATAAATAGAGGAGAAATAAGCGGCCAGATTGCTCGTCGGAGCAAGACAGTTTGAGCATATTACACTGATCTTGGTCCGATTGCACTGGCTACCACTTAGCTTCCAGGTCCAAATCAAAGTGCTGGTTTTGACCTATAAAGCCGTCTATATATAGGGTGCCTACATTCTGCATGGACTGGTTGCACGGCAACATGTGCAATTGGCTTTAGATACCTATTAGGTTTTACCTAATAGGTATCTAAAGGGATGCGGGTGGCGCTGTGGGTTAAACCACAGAGCCTAGGACTTGCCGATAAGAAGGTCGGCGGTTCGAATCCCCATGACGGGGTGAGCTCCCGTTGCTCGGTCCCTGCTCCTGCCAACCTAGCAGTTCGAAAGCACGTCAAAGTGCAAAGTAGATAAATAGGTACCGCTCCGGCGGGAAGGTAAACGGCGTTTCCGTGCACTGCTCTGGTTCACCAGAAGCGGCTTAGTCATGCTGGCCACATGACCCGGAAGCTATACGCCGGATCCCTCGGCCAATAAAGCAAGATGAGCGCCACAACACCAGAGTCGGTCACGACTGGACCTAATGGTCAGGGGTCCCTTTACCTTTACCTTTAGGTTTTACCATATCACATATATTCAACAACAAAAACAGCAACAATTTGTTGTTGACAAAGGACAGCTGGACATATCAAGGGCCCCGTTACCTCCAGGAGCTTAGGGCCTCATCAAACCTAAATCTGGCCCTGGCTACAAAAGATCTGAGAGGCAAAAGAATCTCGGGAGCCCCTGTGCCAGAGAGAGAGACAGAGAAACAGACACACAGAGAGAGAGAGACACTTGTGCATTTCCACAGCCCTAATGCATTCAGCAGACCCTGGACCGAAGGGCCTGCAGGAACATCTGGGATGCTTCGAAGCAGCCCCTGCCTCTGGGCGGCCTGCGCTGTGCTAAGCCGAAAACACATCCTCTTGGGGTGTCAGGTTCGCTCTGCTCTCCTCGCGTGCCAGCAGCAACGGCAGCACCTGCGAGCGGCAGATGATGAGCCCCCACTTGGCAGCTGACGCTTCCAGATGCCACAGCCTCCTGCTCTTTCTCCCCCTCCCCCCAGGAAGAACATCTGGGCCCCGGGAGCTTCCTGCTGGCACCTGAGGCCACACGGCTGTCTCTTGCGGTGGTCTTGGAGCCGGCTGGGACGGAGGGCCTCTTGCCTGCCAAAAGGACATTTGGGAGAGAAACCCGGTTTCCCAGCCCAGCACCCCCTTCGCCCGAGAGCCGGCAACAACCAACGTCCAGGAGATTCACGCAGAGAGGGAGCAGTTTTGCGGGACACACGGGGCGTTCCCTTCCCACCTGGCCCTTGACTCTTTCTAAAAGCAAGTCACCATTTCTAAAAAAGAAACATTTGCCTGGGTTTCTTTTCTTTTTAAAAAAGTAATCCTTTTTGTTTTTTTGATGGTTCCCATTTCCTGGCTTTTTGGGAGGGGGGGCAAACAAAACATTGTCCTGTTTGTTTGTTTTTTTAAAAAAAATGCATCAAATCCTAGTGGCTTGCAACACATACAGATGTCTGGGGAGAAGGGAATTTGCTGCACCTGCTAAGAATGAAAATGTAAAAGAGATGAATCACACACAACCCCACACCCTTGTTCTAGAGCCTATAATAATAATAATAATAATAATAATAATAATAATAATAATAATATATTATTTATACCCCGCCCATCTGGCTGGGTTTCCCCAGCCACCCTGGGTGGCTCCCAATAGAATAATAATAATAATAATAATAATAAGCAATAAAACATTAAGCATTAAAAACTTCCCTAAACAGGGCTGCCTTCAAATGTCTTCTAAAAGTTTTGCAGTTCTTTATCTCCTTGACATCGGCTGGGAGGGCATTCCACAGGGCGGGCACCACCACCGAGAAGGCCCTCTGCCTGGTTCCCTGTAACCTCACTTCTTGCAGTGAGGGAACCGCCTGAAGGCCCTCAGAGCTGGACCTCAGTGTCTGGGCTGAATGATGGGGGTGGAGACGCTCCTTCAGGTCTACTGGGACCATACCTAAGTAGATGGGATGGCTTATCCTTCCTCAGTCATATGATTCTTGCATTGCAAGGGGTTGAACCAAATGGTGCTTTGAGTCCCTTCCAGCTCTGTATACCTGTGGTTCTATGTGCAAAGCAGGGTCCTCGTCTCTTGTTAAGTTGTGGGTGAACATATCAGATGACACAGCAATTCTTCAAACAGCTCTTGTTTCTTCACAGGCCAGAACAGAACTGAACTGAAGGGTTCAGCCAGCCTGCTTATATAGAGCTCTACTACAAAGCAACAGTAACCACTTTCTGTAACTATCCAATCACTGAACATCACTTTCAATCCCTTATTTGCATATGTGGACCTGAGTGAAAACTATCTACAGTATCCCCCTGCTGGCCTAGGGTGAGAACTTCAGTACATAACATCTCTCATTCTCCAGCCAAAGGGAGAAGTAGGCAAGAGGCGTTGAAGAACCACAATGAAGATGTTCACCAGAGAGTCTTTGCTGAGCGCTTCTGTCTGGCACCCTGCCATAATACCAGTGCCGGATTTGCGTATAAGCTAAACAAGCTATAGCTTAGGGCCCCACTCTCTTGAGGGCCCCCAAGAAAATTAAAGGAGAAAAACCCTGGATGTACATTTCCTAAATATAAGATAAATAACAAATAAAATAAAACCTACATATAGCAACAGTGTTTTGTGTTGTATAGGCTCCTAAGATGTAAGTCATGGGCCCCGCCTGCTAGCCTGCTCCCTCAAATATCACTGGTTTGCTCCTTTCTATATATAGGGTGCCTACATTCTGCACGGACTGTTATGTGCAAATGGCTATAGATACCTATTAGGTCCATAAATTACCATATAGCATATATTCAACATGGAGCTTTCTTGGCAGGGATACTGGAGCGGCTTGCCGGTTCCTGCTCCAGGTGGATCACGTTTGGTCAAAACTCTCCACTACGACCTGTCCATCTTGGGTTGCCCTGCAAGCTTCTCTGAGTTATTCAAGCCCCTTCGCCATGGCAAGGCAGTGATCCATGAAGGGGCTCCATGATCACTGCAGATGGTGACAGCAGTCACGAAATTAAAAGACGCCTGCTCCTTGGGAGAAAGGCGATGGCAAACTGAGACAGTATCTTAAAAAGCAGAGACATCACCTTGCCAACAAAGGTCTGTATAGTTAAAGCCATGGTTTTCCCAGTAGTGATGTATGGAAGTGAGAGCTGGACCATAAAGAAGGCTGATCGCCGAAGAATTGATGCTTTTGAATTATGGTGCTGGAGGAGACTCTGGAGAGTCCCATGGACTGCAAGAAGATCCAACCTCTCCATTCTGAAGGAAATCAGCCCTGAGTGCTCACTGGAAGGACAGATCCTGAAGCTGAGACTCCTATACT